TTATCTGCAAAAGGCGGGGGTAGGGCTAGACTAAATAATGGCCAAGCTCCCTGGTCTCTGGAGTCCGGAACCCTGCCTCTCAGCGTAGCCTCTGCTACTTCCCAGTTGTGCGACCTTGGGGAGTTTATTTATCTTCTCTGGGCCCCAGTGTTTGATCTGTAAAATGAGAGCTAATGTTATCTACCTCAAAGGCCTATAATAATGATTAAATGAATCAAAATACGTAAAAATTCCTAACCAGCTGGGCACAAAGTAGAAGCGCCACACAAACTCAAAAACACAAAACGGAACATGGAATTTTGGCTGAGATCACCATCTTAGAGTTGTAATGTCTTCACTCAAGGCCTGAATCACAGATGGGGTCTCAGGCACCACAGCGGGTCAGTGGAGTGGAACTTGGGGCAGAAGACTATCTGAATGCCCTCTCCCCACCCCGTGGTCAGCAGCTTGCCCTCCATGCAACTCTGAGAAGGCTTGGGCAAGTCCTCAGGGCTGTCACTCCAGAGTCTTTATCTCACTCTGTCCTGCCTCAAAGTATCACCCCCAGGGGGACCAGGAGACCCAAATACTGGCAACTTTCCTAGGACACACTAACTAGTTCCAGTTGCAACAGGCTAAAGAGTGTGTCAGGTGCCCAGACGGAGTGAGACGCTCTGGGGGTGAGGGCTGCCAAGGACAAAGCAGAGACGGTCTAGCTGAGCACGAGGCACCCAACGGATCCTGACCTGACCGCTGCTCCCAAACCCCTTCCATTGGACAGTCAAGCACGACACCCTTGGACTCAGGAGGCTGACCCTCCACACCCCAAGCGCCAGGATGGCTGCCCAAGAGGAGACCCTCACTTCCCTCCCAGGGTCCAGAGGCCCCTGTTGCCCTGGCTGGATTGACCTCCTACCATCCAAGGTGGTGCTGTGTGGCTGATGGACTGGCAGGAGGAGCAGGGCCTGGGCATGGATGGGCAGAGAAGGAAGGGGTTACCTGCAGCTGACGGGAAGCTTTGGCAGGCAGAGGTGGGGGAGAGGAGCGAGGGGAGGCTGCAGTGGGGCTGGTCCCCAGCCCGGCCATCAGCTCCTGGTACCACTGCTCTAAGTCTACAGCAGGGAGCAGCAGCTTCTCCATCTGGAGGGGGCATGGAGAGGGGGACAGGGGACAGGAGGGGAAGGATGGAGAGGACAGGTCAATAAATGAGGGTAAAGTACAGGGGAGGAAGGAGGAGGAAAAGGGAAGAGAGAGGGGAAGGTTGAAGGAAGGGTAAAGGAAGGCCATTATCGGGGAAACAGGAAGGTAAGGGGAAAAAGGAAGGCAAGGAGGGAGAAAGGAAAGCATAAAGAGAAAATACAGTGAGACAAGTTGCCACGAACGTGCTAAGGGCAAAGAGAAACGGCACAACTCCCAGACCGCAGACACGTGCCATGACAACCTCCATGCTGCCAGCTGGAGCCCCCAGGCACTCAGCACCCCCCGGGGCCAGCCCACAGCTGGGACGCCAGACCCACAGGGCAAAGCACACACAGAGCCACACCACCCATGGGCCGCAGGTGGCAGGGACACACAGACCACCAACCTGGGGTGAAGGCGTGACAGAAGCGAAGGAGGAGGAAGAGGGCAGCACGGGAGGAAGGCAGGTGGTGGGAACCAGGTCCCGGGAGGCAGAGGCCCAGGAAGGCAGGCCTGGCGCAGGGGCTGTGGGCACGGGCAAGGTGCCCCACATCGCCTTTAGCTGCTCAAGCGTCACGTACTTGGGGGAAGGCGGGCGCAGGAGGGAATACAAGAGGTTAATGGGCCTGGAACCCAAGAGGTGGCCCTGCCTGTGGGCAAGGGAAGGGTTTAGGGAGGACACACAGAGCAGGGGCGGCCTGTAGAGCTGGGGAAAGCCAGACTCCTCTCAGCAGGATGCCCTCTGGCTAGAGCAGAGGGCCTTCCCTCCTTGAGCCAGCAGGAGCTGAAGAAAGTTCCCGAGCCCTGGGGAAGAGAGGGAGCCACTCCCAAACCCCCTGATGCCAGCTGCCCTTTTCCCTCGCTGCTGAAGACAGACCCTGCTGCCCCCCCAACCCAGGCCTGAGGGGCAATCTAGCGCATCCCCGAGGAGGCCCTGGGGCATAGGTGGGCTCACTCGGTGGCTGGTACCTCACTGTCAGGCAGGGGCTGGGTGAGCGCGCTGGGGGAGGTGGCAGAAGCATAGGGGTCCAAGCGGGAGTGCAGCTGGAGAACCTCTGCCAGGCTCACATATTCCTAGGGCGCCCGGTAGGAAGGGGAGGGATGAGTGGAGAACAGGTTAACAGGATTCAACCAGGTACCCAACACCCACACCCCATGCCAGAGGGCCATCACTCCATTCAATACAAAATCCAGATCAGGGTGGAGGGCTCAGCTGCTCACCATGGCCACAGCTGGCTGTCGGGATTAGGGGGGGTGGGGCAGAAATGGGCTCTCCTTGACCTCCACTTTTGAGGCTGCCTTGGTATCCAGGCCCTGCCCCCAGGCAGACCCTGCAGGCCCCTTCCTGGCTTTGCCCTGAGCTACAGGCAGATGAAGAAGCCTCAGGAGGGTCTGTCAAGAGTCTACCAAGGACCAGGACCCAGCTCCCAGAGAACCCTTCCATCTCCAACAAAGTGGGCATACACGTGCATCACCGAACACCAGTCACACCATTCCCGAGGGTCCCATCCCACCCTACCTCCTGGAGCAGGAGCTGGAAGGGGTCAGGGTAGAGGTACCACTAGGGCCCGAGCAAGATGGGCCCTGAGAAAGAGACCTTAGTAGGGAGCAGGTAAAAGCACAGGTGGAAAAACATGCCACTGCCCAAAGGTCGCTAATACGCCCGATTGTGGGTTGGGAAGACAAGGACTGTTATATTCCCTGAGCATATCCTTAGAGTCCTGAGCTTATCGAGGCATTGGGGACATGGCAGACATTCAAAATGCATGCAGAATCAAAGCACAGGATCCTAAGCCTGCCCTACCCAGAGGAGCCCATCCTGGCCTGGCTTCCGAGGCCAACCGTCCTCCAGGGGTCATGGAAAAGTGAAATGAGCTGGAAGGTCCAGTGTGTTGTGAAAACTGATGAATGGCATGCAGAATACTGGGAAATGTATATGCAAATTGATGCTCTGATTTGCACGGGCTGCCCGGGCACCTATGGAACAGCAGGACAGCCCTCTCACAAACTCTGGCCAAAGGATTACTGCCACACGCCCTTCAGCTGGGCCGCTGGGAGGAGCCGAGGGCAGGAGCTCAGCAAGCAGGCAGACAGGCAGTCAGCACAGCAGAGCAGGCAGTTAACTGTGATTACCTCTTGCGCTTTGGGGCAGAGCTGAGTGGAAGCAGGTGGGGTTAAGGGGACAGAGGAGGCCCCAGCCTGAGATGCCCCTGGGAACGGGCCCAGAGCCACGGTCCCCAGCCCCACCTCTGAGGACTCGGAGATGAGCAGTTCAGCCTACAGAGAGGGTACGTGTGAGGGGCCTCACCCTCACGCTCAGCCCAGCCACCCTACCCCAGGCCTACACTGCTTGTGCGGTGAGGCAGGAAGCTGGGTATGGCCTAGTCGGACCTCACACACCTGGCATGAGAAGACTCGGGAAAGAACAGAACAGTTCTGAGCCTGGAGCCTAGTTCTAGAAGGGAGCCCAGAGAGCTTCCGGGTCAGGACCCCTAGATCCCTAGGCTCCTTCTCGAGCTGAGTCCGCCCAGCCGGGCCCTTTCTCTGAGCTGCCATCCTCCCCACCCATGCCGCCTGAATCCCCAGGATGTATTCAGTCACCCAAAATGGTCAGAGCCAGAAGCCAGACAGCTAACGGAGGAGAAGCAGCTGGTAGCCATAGAGGATCCAACCCCAGACCTCAGGGCCATTCCTATTCAAATCTCGCCAGTTTTGGAAAATGTCCCCATACTCAACCTCAGCCATTGAGGGGAAGGTGCCGCATGTTGTTCCAGAGTCTCCCAGGAGACCCCTTGGGCCTGAGGCTGGGGCTGGCCCAACCACGTTACCTCTTTGAGGGTCGATGTGGTCTTCGGGAAAGGCCTGCCCCCTGTGAGTGAGTGGTATCTTCTTTCCAACAAAGTCAGTTTCTCCTTCTCCTGCAAGCCCAGAGCGTCAGAGAATCAGGAAGGAGTGGGAATGACAGCAAGAAGCCCCATGTAAAGGGCAGAGGGGTCCCCTGTGGCTGGCAAGTCTCCACCCCAGCCCTTCTGCACTCACCTCCCACTCCCCCAGCCCCTCCCCAGCCCTAACCATCCAACCTGACCACGGCTACCTTCTGCAGCAGCTGCAGGGAGGCATTCTTTTCCCGGGCTAGGCGTTCAGACTCTTGCACAGCCTGGGACCGGATCTGCCCAGCCTGACTGTCTAGGACTGCCAGGCGCTCCTGGAGGAGATGAGGGTGGTGGGTCAGGCCCTGGGGAGAGGCTTGGCTGTCTCTCCTGCCCAGAGACCCTCAGCCTGGGTGAAGGGGATCAGCCAGCTCGTCTGCTCAGCCTCATCTCACACCAGGGGAAAAAAACTCAGGCTGCGGTGGTCAGCTCCTTTCCTTACCCCTCCCTGGACCAGTGACCCCTATGCCACTAGGCACACCAGCCAGCATTCAAGTTCCCAAATCTCCCTCCCCCGGACCCCCACAGTCAACATGCTCAGAATCCTGGAGACACTGAACAGTTCTCCACCCGCTCCACTCCTCCATTCCTGCCACCACCCAATCCAGGCCCTCTGCTGTCCCGGCCTGGACTTTGTCACCAGCCTTCTGCTTCCACTCTCTGAACTTTCTGATCCACTTAAATCCTGCCATAGCCATCTTCTTAAAATGGCCTCTGAGGTTTGTTTTTGTTTGCTTGCTTATCTGAATTTTCTAACCTTTTTCTAAAATGAATGTATATTACTTGAATAATTTTTTTTTAATCCACAAGTAAGGGTAGCCCATAACTCGCCTCAAAATCTTTCAGTGACTCCTCATTACTCACAGGATAAAGTACAAACTCCTCAGCCAGCACTCAAGGGCTCCAAAACTGGGCCTACACTTTCCAGCCTCCCTCTCACCCGTGCCCCACCAGCTCTCAGCTCGGCCCTGTCCTGCAGTCAGCTGTGCAGCTGTATGCTCTCTGGCCTTTCTTAAACAGTTCCCTTTGCTGGGAGAGCTGTCCCTGCCTTCTCCACCCATCAAGAGCTTGCTTATCCTCCAAGACCAGACTGAATGCTATCTTCTCTCCAGTATCTTCCTTGATCACTATTCAATATTTTTGCTCCTTGCTCTGTGCTCAAATTATTCTGTATTACCATTTGCTTTGTATTTCTTTTGCCTGTGAATATATGTCTCCATCACCATCACCCCACCCAAGCTGTCAGATCCAAGGGCAGGATCAGTGTCTTTTCTGTCTCCATATCCCCGATAGGGCTTAGTGCGATGCCTGGCTTAACAATCATGTGCTAAAAGGAAATGAAAAGATAAGCGAGAGGGAAGGATTGGAGCTGGGGAAAATGGGCCGCGTTTATCCCAGGAGGGCATCCTGAATGAGGAGACCTTAAACTATCACCTTCAAGAGCAAGACATAGGAGAGAAGGGAGGGAAGAAGGGAGCTGTACTAAATCGGGAGTCAGGGCAAGCCGACTGAAGCAGACCAGGAGGTAATCCTCACAGCAAGGTCTGCCATTTACTGAGAACCTATTAGGACCCAAGAACTCTGCTGAAAGCTTTGCGCATGCTCCCTCATTTAACTCTCTTATGAGGCAGGTGCCTCATGCCCATTTTACTGATAAGTAAGTGTATCTGTAAGGCAGAGCAGCTCAGGGAGAGAAGCAAGGGATCTGGACTCAGGCGGATGTCCAGTGGCTCCCCACTTATCACCAAACTCAGGCTAGCCATCAAGCCCCCAACTCATCACTTTTTGACACCCCCTCCCCTGATCGCACTGCCTTCAACTCCCACCCACTCACTCCAACCAGGCAAACTGCACTTGCACACACATGTGTACACGAACATGCAAGTCTCAGCCACCGGCGTGTCAGCCGCCTGGGCCATCCTCCTCATTTTCCTCCCCGACATCTTCCTAACCCTTCCTTATTAACACAAGCCTCCTCCCAACTTTACTCCCCACCCTCACACACATAACAGCCCCATCCCATCGCCCTGTCCTGGTCTGGCTGAAATCAGGAGCAGACATCACAGCACCTGGAGCTGCAGAACTGGCCAGGATACAATACCCAGTCCTCTTGTTTTACAGCTCAGACGAGCCAGGGCTGAGCCACGACTGGAATCCAGGACTTTCTAGGACCCCTGGCTGGCTCTTATACCCAGATCTCAGATCTCGGGTCTTTGTATGTGGCCCAGCACTTCCATCAGACAGAGAGCAGCTCTCCAAGGGCAGGAGCAAGCCTCCTCTTCAGCCCCCTCCTGCATCTCCATCTTTCACCCCTGCCCAGCCAGTGCCCAGTTCTGAATGTGAGCCCAACCCACTTTCCACTGGAGGACTGAGGGGAGTCAGGGCTTAATAAGATTGGCTACTGTTCACTGAGTGCTTCCTGTGATCACATCCCATGCGGTCTTCACGTACCTCAGCTCCTTTAATTCTCACTACAGTCTGTTACTGTTCCCGTTTTATTGATGAGGAAACTGAGGCTCATAAAGGTGAAGCCAACCCGGCACCACGGGCCCTGCGCAGGGGTGCGGTGGGGCGCACCTTCCTCTTGGCGATGCTGCGGAGCAGCTCGGCCTTGCTCCGGAGCAGCCCCTGGCCCGCCAGCTCGCGCTCCTCCTCCGCCCGGCTCTCTCGCTCCAGCTGCTGGAACTCCAAGTCTTCAAAGAGCTTGGTCTCAGTCTCCAAGGCCTCTGCCTCCTTGAACGACAGTGACAGCGGGGGTTGGGTGGCGCTCATCACGCCCCTCTGGGCCCGGAGGGCCAGGTCACAGAGGTGTGAGTCCTGGGGGGCTGGAGGGGAGGCGGAGGAAGGGACCTGCCCCCACCCAACTCCCTTTCCTCCGCTCGGCTTGGCCCCTCGCACGGGCAGCACTGCCTGGAGTAGCAGAAAGGAGATCCCCCCCACCCCACCCCAATCCTTCCCTGTCCCCTCCAAGCCACAGCACCGACCCTGGCGTCCGGCAGGAACTGCAGGGCCCAGGCGGTCCCGGCCCGCCGCTCCTCTCCTCCGGGCGGGCGGGCGGGCGGCCCTCGGGGGCGGGAAAGGGGGGCTGGTGGAACTGACCCTTCTCAGCTGCTCCTGTAACTGTTCCCGCACTGACTCGGGGCAGTTATCGAGCTGCGTCTGGAGCTCGGCGTAGAGCGCCTGGCGGGCCTCCAGGTGCCTCCGTCCCGCGGCCAGCTCCGCCCTCTCCTGGTCGCCGGGGCGGGAGGGGGCGGGCAGGGGAGAAACAGAACACACACTCCTCAACTCCGGCCCGGCGGCGGCGGCGGCGCGGGGAGGGGCGCGGGCGAGCGGAGGGGAGGGGGCAGGCCAGGGATAAAAGAGGAGCAAAACCGGGAGAGGAGGAAGCAGAGTGGAGAGAGGAATGGGGAGGGAGAGGTACAGAGGGGGACAGGCAAGGAGCCGGGGTGTGAGACAGGGCTCAGAGGTGCGGGCGATGGTGTTAACAGGCGGAGGCGTGGGTCCCAGGCAGAAATTCTGGTCTCTTGGAGTCCCTTGAACTAGGAGGGTTTGGGTAGGTGCTAAGAAAAGGCCCTCTGTTTTCTCTCCAAACCAGTCATGGCCAAAGCTGGTTCCACATCCCAAAAGTGGAGCCTCTAGCTCCCGCCCCTCCCCCTCTTCCACTGCCCGGAGACCAAAATTTCACCCTGGGAAAAAGGATAGAGTTGGTGAGGGTTAAATCCAAGGGTTGGGTGTGAACTGGGAGCTGAGGATGTTAAATCTACAGCAGTGCAGTGGAGGGGACCCCAGCCCAACCCCCTAGGCCTCCCTCCCTGCTGCCTGGGTGGAGGTGTGGGTCGGGTGCTGGCACTGCAGGCTGAACTTCAGCAGGATGAGGGTTGCAATTAGTTCGGCCGTTGCCATGGTAATAGAAGCCCCAGGAGTGGGTACAGAGAGGAGGTGGATGGCTCTGTCTGGGGCGAGATGACACCTCTGAGGGCGGGAAGGGGGATGAGGGGAGGAGCTGATGAGTCACCCCTCTGAAGGACAGGGAGAGGAGAAACTGATTACTGATTCCAAAGCCAGAGTGGGGCCATGGGCTGGGGGCTGGGGGCTGGGGAGGGAAGCTGAGCAAACTTTCCCCACTGCCCCCACCACCACCACTGCCACTGCCACCACCACCACCATCACCACCACAAATAACTGGGCCCAGAGAGAAGGAAAGTCCAGACCTCCAGGCAATGCAAGTCAATGACAAATGAGGTTAGGCAGGTTCCTTCTGGAATTCTGAGCTTCACCCTGGAGTAAGTCTCTACAATGAACCCTGCCTCTACCCATCCCTCCAAACCATACCCCCATCCCTGGAGAGGACTTGATCAGGCCAGTTCCTGGGGTGCAAGCACTTCCCCACCCTTGGACTCCGCCTTTAAGATACTCTATGTTCTGGATGGATCACGGTGGGCTCGACGAGGAGAGTCCTACCCAGTCCCACCCTTTGGTTGAAGTATCTGAAATTGAGAAGCCCCAGAGGAAAGCCAGAAAGGGTCGCCACTGTGTGGCAGAGAGCCCCTGTCCACACCCTCCACAGGCCATGACACCACTGGGCCTCCTTACCCCTCAACTTGGAAGGGAAGGCAGGCGATGGCTGGAGGACAGCCTGCCTCTCCCTTTAGGTAGGAAACTGCCAACAGTCTGTGGAGGCCACACCCTGGCTTTTCCAAATGGGAAGAGCTCTTCAGGCTGAGAGTCTCCTCAGCCAAGCATTTCCCCTAATCTTGTACCCCTCCTGCCAATGCCCCATTGGGTATAGTTGAGCTGTGTCCCTGGCCCATTCCTTTTTGATCAACGCCCTGGGGTCCCACACCAAGAAAGGAAGGAGGCAGCATTAGAGGGGAGAGGCCACGGGCACAGACGTGCCCATAGAGTTAGTGCAAAAGCAGGCACGACTCAGCCCTGCCTGGGTGGCACTGGCCGTTAGGGGCATGCGGAGAGCCCAGGACAGTGATTAGAGAGGGCGTTAGTACAGGCCTGGTTGGTAAGCGTGGAGTTAATCTGGCACAGAATTTGGGAGTGTGGTTTTGGGGGTCAGAGTCAAAGCTCCAAAAAAGGTGGGGGGTGGACAAAGAATTTTTAAGAGCTTCAAAATTGAGGGGCAGAAGGAAGACACTCTCAAAAAATCCAGAAGGAAAATTAATTCTTGGAAAAATACTGTCAAGTCCAGAAATAGGTGGCCCCTCTCCACTTCAGAGCTTTTGGCACGTTGTTGGGCATCTTGGGCATGGCTGGCACGGCCCCTGTGGGACGGAGCGGCCCCTGCAGGCTGGCACGAAATCTGAAAGGGGCAGGGGCAGGAGCTGGGACCATCTGGGATGGGAGGCTGCAGATCCTGAAGGCTCAAGGGAAGCAGAGACCTGAGGGCCATCTCCCAAAGACCACGTCCTGAGCACCGGAGGCATGCTTGGAGGGAGATGTTCTCCAGATGCAGGGACCCAAACCTGAATCTCTTCCCAGCACCAGTCCCTTGGGCTGTGCTCACTGCCCAAGAAGGGGCTTCGGCACTTCCTAAAAAGGCCATGCAGGGCCCAGAATGGCAGGTACCCAGGCACCCAGGCACCCAGAGGTAGAACAGAGACCCAGGCAGAGAAGACCCCAGACACCAGCCCAGCCCCTGGCAGTGCCCTCCAAGCCGGTACTTCCTACAGAGGACAAGGCCCCCGCCCTGCCCCTGGAGGGGCACAGAGACCACCCGGTCTGCAGGACAGATGACGAGGTGAGCAGGGAAAGGCCCCAGCACTGAGCCAGGTCAGGTGTGGGTTACCTTGTCCCTCTCCTTTTGGATGCCCGTCTCCAAGGTCACCAGCTTCTCCTGCAGCTGGTCCACCGCCTTCTGTTCCTTCTGCAGAAGTGCCCGCTCTGCCTCCCTCTCCCCCTGCAGCAGCGCCCGCTCCATTTCAGCCTGGAGGCAACACCAGGGTCCAAGTCAAGGCCACTCAAGGCAGGTGGCCTCGGGCCACTCCGGGGCCGTCACTGTGCCGGGAGGAGTCCCGCCAGGGCCCCCGCGCTCACCTCTCGGGCTGACTCCTGCAGCTGCTGCTCCAGCTCCTTCACACGGACTTTGAGCTGCTCCACTCGCCCCAGCATCTGAGTCCGCTCCTCTTCCAGGGCCAGCACCTCTCCCTGGAGCTTGGCGCTGGGTGCATCTTCGTGCTGGTGGGGAGGGAAGCCATCACTGGGGAAGCCTAGAGCTTCCTAAGAAAACGGATCCCCATTTCTCAGGGCGCTCAGAAGGAGTATCTGGACTGAGAGAGGAGGCAAATTCCCCTCCCTGCAAGGGGAGCAATACAGGCACAGCCCAAAGGAATAAAGACTTACCACTGAGTGCCAGGCCTGGGTGGGGCCCCAAGGAAAGGCAGGTCATAAAGCACGTTTATAGCTCAGGAAACTCACCAGCACCTCCCCCTCTTCCTTGCTCCTCATTTCTACACCTCTCACCCCTGATGTCCCCAACCTCAGTCACTTCCTCCTCACTGGGCCCTGACACCCACCATGCACATGCCCTCCGTGGCCTCCAGCCCTCACCCACCCAGCAGCCTGCCAGGCCCCGCCCCACCTCCTGCTGGGTGCTCTCAGTGCTACTGCACTCCTCCTTGAGATTCTCCTCATCCGAGCGCTCCACACTCTCCCACAGGCGTTGGGTGGCCCCTCCAGGCTCCTCAGTGCTCCGCCCAGAGGTCCCAGTGGCCCCTGCAAGGCCTCGTGAGGGCCTCCGGCCTGCCAGCGCCAAGGCCGCTGCGGCCTCGCCAATGCTGGGCAGCTCCCCGGCCTCAGGTCCCCCGTCAGCCCGGCTGTACTCGGCACACAGGTTCAGGATAGTCTCCAGGCGCTGGCGTTCCTGGGGAGGGTGGACAGAGCAGGGCATGGAGGGGAGAAGGTTGGGTCCCCCTGGGGTTAGAGCCAGGCACGGTGTCCTGGCAGGAGAGAGGACTAGGACACTAGGGGCTTGGGGCTCAGAATCAAGTCAGGAGAGCCCCAACCCCAAAGTCTGGGGAGGCAGAGGGAAGGAGGGTGGGTGCCCCAGAAGTGGGCCGGAGGAACCAGGCTGTCCTGCCACTTGCCCATGTGGCCAGCCCCTCCCACCTTCCTGTTTCCTCTCCTCACTCTGTCCCAGGGTGGGCTTCCTCATGGACACACAGGGACACACCCAGACACATGCAGGAACACACACTGGTAAAGCAGACTAAAGACTGCAATGAGACACACAGACACGCAAGTGCTCATGCTGACACGGACAGCTGGAGAGCCAGAGACACGAGGGCACACAGAGACACCCCCACATACCAGCACTGACACCCAAGGACACGACATGTGCCCCGCCTGCGGTAACAGGCAGGCACACACAAACACACCAGTCCTGACTTGCACAAATGCACACTCACACCCATAAACACAGTCCAGCATGCAGACAGGTGGGCACCAACACAGACGGGGTGGGAAAACAGCCCTGAGCCCACAGGGTCCTGACACAGGTTCACACGATGTGCACAACAGCTATACACCCTGCCTGGGAGAGTGGGGCCACGGTCCTCCTCATCCCCATCTCAACCCCCCCAAAAAAACCCCTGCACTCTCAGGCAGCCCTCAGAGCCTTCCCAGGATGAGGGGGCAGCCAGCACTTACATGCCCAGGCCTAGGCACCCACAGATACCTCTCAGGGGCCTAGGAGCTGAAGGAGGGACAGTACATTCACACTCCTGGTCTGTGTCCCCTTCTCCCACACATAACACCCCAGACTGAAGCCTTCCAAGGCTCCCATGGCCCTCCTGGGTCCCTCAACCTCCAGTGTCTCTCACCACGTACGTAGTCTGGCCAGGACCCCCCAGACGCTTACCCGGCTTCCCTCCTGCTGCTTGCCCAGTTCCATGGCAGAAATAACCAGGAACAGTCTCCACACCTAGGAGGCTGGGCCAGTGCTCCCGCCCCTGCCCCAGGACCCAGATAAGAGCCTGGTTGAGGTAGGAGGGGCGGGGTAGGCAGCCTCCAGGATTTAAAGTGGCAGATGGGGCAGGTCAGGGCTGGTGCTGTGTGTGGGGCGTTGAGGGGAAAGTTGGATGGAGGAGTTGAGGGAGGCTGGGCCCTCTGCCTGTGCCAGGTTCACCGTCCCCTCTCCTGGATGAGACTCCCGGTAGGTCAAGCATTCTTGTCTCAGCCAAGGCAGAAACAGTGAAGAGAAGATACAGCAATGGAAAAGGCTGGGGGCCCTGCCTTATCCCTCACCCACCCAGCACACACTGTCCCACACCCTCACCTCACCTAGTGATGTCCCAGCCTCTTCCGAAAGGGTCTCCAGACAAACCTCCTCAGTTCTGATTCTCCTCCTCAAACCAATCCCAGTGTCCCTGGGCCCCCAAGCACCCTGTTCTGCTCACAAGGAAGAGGGAAGATTCCATTTGCCTGCACATGTGCTCGAGTGTGCACACACCAGCCAGAGCCCCTTGCGCTCCCTGTGCTATCTGGGGAATCCCAGCGCCCACCCAGCTCGGATGCCATCTCCAGGACAGCTGCCCAGAGCCACACCCAGCCCCCAAATGCACCCACAAATGCACGCGCGCACGCACGCACACACACACACACAATCACACACACAATTACAATCACACAGATGCCTGGATCAGCCAGGGGCTGCTTGTCCTGTTCTCTCTCCCCTGCCACCCCCATTCCCAGACAATCCTGCATGGGTCAGGGTGTGCAGCTCCCACCCATTTATAGGGGCCAAAGAGAAGCAAGAATGAAGGACCAGAGGCTTCTCTAGAGAACAAGCCTTGGAAAGACAAGGGACTTGGGTTCCAATTCCAGCTCTGCCAGAACTTGCTGTGTTACCTAGGACAAACCCATTCCCATCTCTGGGCTTCAGCCTTCTCATTATGAAGACCTGCTTCTCAAACTGAGAAGTACAAGGTCTCAGCGTGAATGTTGTATGTCTTCCTAGAACTTCACTGTATTCAGATAAATAAAGTGAAACTTAATTTACACATTAAAACAAACGTGTTATAGAATTAATGCAAAATTAGCATGAATTGAAAATAAGGCCTTATAGACTCCAAATAAAGTTCTTCTTCAGGGCACTAGATCCTTGAGATACTGGTCACTTCCACAGTGTATCCTGGAGGGGGAGATGCTTGGGAAGCCCAGGCCCTGTCCACGGCCCCTCCCACTCTGCCAGCTGGCCCGCCCACACCCTGGCAGAGTCCCTGCCATGGATGTCGGCAGCCTCCCTGGCATCCGCTCACCAGCCTCTCCATCTCCTGCTCCCGAAGCCGCTCTTGGCGCTGCCGCCGGTGGTACTCCAGGAGGTCATCCTCATTGTCACTGATCTCTGTGATGCTATTTTTTCGCTCCCGAGTGACAGGTACCCGCAAGTCCCCGCTGGAGAGCTTCCTCTGGGCACGGGGGCTCTGACGGGGCGAAGCCCCAGTCAAAGAGCCCAGACTATAAGCCGGGCTCAGCCTGCCACTGAAGCTGCCCTTGCGGGGTGCCAGGGACTCCCCAAGTGTGGGTGAGGGGCTCCGTGTCCGGCGGCCCCGCGCCCCCAGCGTCAACGAGAAGTCTTCTGGGGAAGCCCCATGGGCTGCCCAGCGCCGGGGCCGGGGACTCTCTGCCACTTCCCTGGTTAGCTTGGGATCTGGGGTGGTCCGAGCAGGCATCGGGGAGAGAGCCCTTCGGGACAGAGATGGGCTCAAGGGAGGCAGTTCTCTCATACTGTCCAGGCCCCGCCGGCCCAGGCGGGGACTCTCGGGAGGCTGCAGGGTGCGGGTGGCCGACCCATCCGAAAACGTTCGACCCACCAGCTGCCGTGAGGGGCTGGTCGTCAACACGCGTTCAGTGCCGGGCAGCTCTCGGAAAGGGCTAGGAGGGCGGTCCTGGAGCGTGCCCATCTTGTTTCGGGGAGCAGGGATTGGAGGCTGGAACTTGGGGCTGCCAGGAATGCTGCTGGTGGGCTGGCTGCGGGCGCTGGAAGCCGGGTAATCACTCAGGCTGATCGCCACCACAGGCAGCTGCCCGCCCGGCCGGGGGCTCTCGGTGGCTCTGCGGGCCTCCGCCAAGACAGTGGCGGCTGGGCTGTCTGTCAGCAGACCTCGGAGGCCAGGGCTAGGGGGCCTCTCGTGACCCCCCTTCCTGCCCAGCCGCGGGCTCTCAGAGGAGCGAGCACCGCTCGGTCGTGACTGTGGGGGCTGCAGGGCCAAATGGTAGCTAGAGGAGCGAGCTGGCACCAGTGGGGGCATGGAAGGTGCTGGCTCCTGCCCACTGGGTGAGTGGCTAGCACAGCTCCCACTGCTGGCTGGTGAGGAGAGTGGAGAGAAGGCTGGAGAGGTGTTCTCATAGCTGGAGCCCACGGACATGGCCCCGGGGCTGGTTGGGGGGGACAGCAGGTAGCGCCCACCATTGGCCATCGGAGAGAGCGGGGAAGTTGCAGCAGGCTTCTTGCCTGCAGCTCCAGGCTCCTCTAGCACCAGTGAATCCATGATTTCCTGCAGGTCTTTCTCAATAGAGCTCACCAGGGAACTGTGGCTGGCACAGGCTGAGGGTCCCCGGGTGGCAGGCTGTGGGGTATGATTCCCATTCACCAGGCTTTCTGATTCTGCTGAAGGAAAATACAAAGATGCCTCAGGCCCCAGTCTGCACCTCCTAGGCCCTAGAGAGCTGCCTTTGCATGACAGCGAGCACTCCCCACCTCCTGCTAGCAGAGTGGGGCTTCAAAGGCTCCGGAGAAGCAGCCAGGAGATCTGGGTTCCAGTGCCAGCTCTGCCACTGACCCGCTGAGCAGCCTTCCCCAAGTCACTTGCCTGTCGTTTCTCCTTCTGTAAAGGAAGAGGATGGGCAGGGCTCTTCTGGCTCTAACATTTTATGCTTTAGGACAGAGCTGGCAACAGTGCCAGGCACTTCTAGGCCTAACTGTTGTCTACTCACTCCAAGACTAGGTTCCTCCCTGCCTTGGTTTCCCCAGACTCCTCGACCTCTCCTTCAGGAAGGGCAAGTGGACATTCTGCAAAGGGAACGTGGCATGCTGGGGGGCAGGCCAGTTCCAGGAGGGTCCCAGTCTAATAGGACATTAGGGCTTTCCGACACAGTGGCCAAGATCCAGGGAAAAAACACAAAGCCCCCGGGGCTGGGCGAGCGGTATCACTTTATCCAATTAGAGGCAAAGGAGGGGCCCGGCCCTAGAGGCCAGTTCCTGGAAGCCAGGCTGGCCAGCAACTAGGTGCAGCTCAGCGCTTCCAATTAGCCCATTAAGCCACGCCAGCAAGAGCCTGCCCTTGCCCTGCCCCAGCCCTAGTCAACCAACCAGGAGTCCCTGGAACCAAACAGCTGAGGGAGTGGCATGACAAGGCTAGGGTGAGGTGAGTAAAGCTAACCACGGAATGGACCTGGAACCCAGGCTTCTGAGCCCCCAAGGGACTAGAAAGCCGGGAGGTGAAGTGGGGGGAGTGGAGGAGAAAGGGAAGCCTTTGCAAGACTGAGTCTGAGTCCAAAATTATGGGGACTGTGTGAGGTTGCCGTGGATACTGGTGATCCCAGTGACCACCCATCTTTCCTCAAATCCCCAGACTATCATTTAAGCCACTGATGCCACCCAGCTAGGTGTACCGGAAATACACGTCCACCGGTCCCAATGCCACGCTGACACCTGTCATCCTGCAGCCATCTGAATGCAAAGTCTTGGGGGGCAGGCCAAGGGGCAGCCTCCTGGTCTGCACCCCACCCCCTAGGCAGCTGGGCTGAGGGGGACTGTGCTGGTTCCCTGGGACAATTACCAACTCTCCTCTGGGATCAATAATTCACACACAGACTGCAGCTGCTCCACTGAGTCATCAGCTGGCATGGCCTGGCCTGGGGGTGGGGCAGGGCCCAAGGACAGGATCACCAGCAGGTGGGACCCCCCCCACCCCCACCAGAGCTTTCAGGAGCTCAATCTGATGCTTCCTTCTGCACCCTCAGGCCACTCTCAAGGGTGAAGCTCCATGGTGTTGCAAGAAGAGGGTCAGGGTCCCAGACACCAAGGTGGCACCCTCCAGGGCAGTGGGATACAGGCTGGCAGAGCTCTCCATCCCTCGGGCACATGATTCCTCAATTCCAGCCAAGCAGCACTTCTTGGATCTCTCCCAGTGGCCAGACTGCCTGGCACTTTCCACAAGTGGCCCATGGCAGGCGGCAGCAGGCCAGGATCATGGGTATTGTCCTGCCCTGACACTACAAGTGTGGCTGGAGTGGGCAAGGAGGAGGACTGGCCATGGGGTGCCACCAAACCAGCCACCTGCCCCAACTGATTACCTACCTGAGCCAGGGCTGTAGTGGGGGCCAGGGGCCCTGCCCCCTGCAGGAATCATGCTCTTCATCCACTTGGCTTCAGCAGGGTGGTTAAAGCGGAGGAAGGTGGACTGACCCAGGCACAACATGCAGCCTGCAGGGAAAACAAACACTTGGAAGGGCAGGCAGGGCCAAGGCAGCCCTCACCCCGCCGCAGCAGCAGGCTCACCCCAGGCTCCAAAGAGCCACCCCCGCCTGCACTCACAGCGTCCACGTGGCCCATGCCTGACCCCACCTGTGCTCAACATGCTCCGGCCCGGCTCCACAGCACAGGACAGAGCAGAAAGAGCACTGGTTTGTGAGTCCTAGTCCTAACTTTTCTTCCTACAATCTGTGAGACCTTCAGGTAAAATCACTTCACCTCCCTGAGTCTAGTTCTATCATCACAAAGATGAGGACAATACCACTGACTTTGCAGAGTTAATAAGACAGTGTATGTCAAAGGGAGCATGTGCCCCCACCACCGACCCAAACTGCACACGTGATCCATCTATCTGCCACCTGGGTGGAAGGGTCAGTTTGAGAGGCAGTAACTTCCAGGATCACAAAAAAGCTCTGAGATAGGGGACAGGGAAAAACCACAGATCAGTTAGATGCCCCCTCAGGGACTGGGATTTAGTTCCTTAAGAGAGTTGCCACCCTTTCTGACAGTAGGGAGAAACTACTGCCATCTTTCTCTCCGTCAAAGCACTCTCTGGCCTGACATCTTCCTGCTCCATGGTCTCCCCTGGAATGTAGCCAAGCCAAGCCAATGGGCCCAGCCTCAGCCAAGCACATTCCCAGGCAGGAGACACAAGCCCAGTCCTGCCCAGGAAAAGTGTAAGTGCGTGAAGCGGGGAGGAGATGTGGGAGCCAGAAAACGTAGCCAGGGGCACCAGGAGTGTGCAGAGCAGCAGGTGTGCCCACGGCGCCTAAGCCTGGCTGGCAGAACTCCTCTTCCTGGACACACCAGGTGCTAGAGGCTTCTGCACAAGATGCTATGTTGGGAGAAGCCAGAGCCCTGGTGCTCTCTACCACCCACCCTTCCAATTTGCCCACACCCTTGGCCCCTGGCCCCAGGCTCCTATCTACCCAATCTGGTGCCACTTGGCACCCCAAGCTTCATGCCAGTCTGACTTAAGACTGGCAGGGAAGTCTACATTCCTGGACGTTGAGACAGTTCAGCTCAGGCAGGCCACAGGGGCATGGGGCATCCCAGGCCACGTGGGTTCCTTGGCAGATCCCCCACTGAACTCAGGAGCCTGTTGGGGGACCCTGAGCATTACCATGGTTGGGGAGCTAGTGGGCTGAGAAGCCCACAGCAGATAACACAGCAGACAAAACCACCCACTTCTTTGGCACACCCACAGGTCATCCCAGGCAGACGGGCACCAATAATTCTAGAGGCTGATGGGTGGTTAGGAGAGGAGGGAGCTTTCCCTGCCAAGCCACCAATCAGAGGAGCTGATCCCAGAGTAATCATAACCGGAATAAATAATAGCCAGCCACACCGTCCACCTAATTACAACCACAGCTGTTTCAGAAAGCACCCTACCATTCCCCTCCCCCTCTTTTCAACCATTTAACAAGCTAATTAATGATGAGTTTGCAGGGTCTAGACAGACCCACTCAACCCTAGATTGATGGGCGGTGGGGGCGGGGGGAGAGCAGATCAGGAGCCTGACTACATAATCCAGACTGGGAAAGAAGTGGGAAGTCTGGGTGGATTCCAGCCCATCAGTGCCAGGCCCACCCAGGGAGGCTGTGGGCTCCTAGGGACCCTCAGCCCTGGCTCCTATAGTTGTGAGTTCTCTGCCCCTCACCCTCCTCTACACAAGGGGTGTGGCTATGCCGCCTCTGGGCTATAAATAGGTGATGCCAGGCAGCAGAGCTGGATCTGTATTAATAGAGCAGGCAGGAGGGCAGCAGGACTGATTGCAGCCCAGCTCCTGCCCAAATTAACTTTCTATTTGCACTCAGGGGCCCCAGGCATTGCCCCAACTCTGGTCCCATGCCCCCAGGGGCCTCGCCAGCCTATTTCTGGGAAGAAACCTTCTCTTTGCCCACCCCTGCCCCACACCTCCAAAGGTCAGCCCACTCAGGAAACCCAACACCCCTTCTAACGCAGGCAAAGCTGTGTTTGTGCTCCCCTGCTCCCCAAAGGGGCTCAGGGCCCACCTGTGTACAGGTGGGTGGAGGAGCTGCACATCTGGAGGTGAAAAAACGGAGCAAAGGAGAGGGTGATCCTATCTTTGAGAGACGAAGAGGGGAAACATTGCACATAGACACACTATTAACCTGGCTCACACACATACATGCTCATCAAACACACAGACACAGATAAAGGCATACAGGCTCCCACACTCAGAGTGACAGTCACTGCCCTGCTGGCCACACAAACAGAATGAACTGGCCATAAAGAAGGCTGGGGTGAGGGGAAAACGCGAGGAAGGGCCTTGGCCGCTTCCATCAGAGACCCCTCTTAGCCATAACACAGGCTCCCTCATCGTAACCAGGACCCCTCCACCCCATCCAGGGGCACGTCCATGGAGGGGACGGCCCCGTGCTGGGGAAGATGAAGTCTGCTCCGCCGAGGAGTGGCCCCGAAACCAGACGCCCCACTCAGATATGTTCAGGGCTCACACACGATCCAGTCTCACCACCTCAAGCTCCCGAAGTGGGGCCGAGGACCCGATCTCCCTCCTCGCGCGCCTCCCCAGCCCCCCTCCACGCCCCTCCCAGCTCGTGCTGCTCCGCGCCCGGCGGCCGGGGCTGCGGCCGCCACGGA